CCATATTAGACACAGAACCTGCACACTGAACACTAAGAGCCAGAGAATCCTTAACAGCCAACTCATCAGACCGTTTGGAAAGTAGTATGTTATCTTTGGGAGTGAGAAGGTTCCTAGCCACTACCGCAGCGGTCATATCATTCTTCATCACGGAATCCCCAACGGTAAGAGGACCAGTAGGGGAGACGAAGGATGGGCGCCATATGTTGTCTGGAGAAGGCGGGGCTGCCTCTTCAACAAGGTTCAAGTCAAAACGACGGTCGGAGGGGCCAGACATTTTCAAAGGTGTTGAAGAGAGAAGAGGTCGAACAAATCCAGATCTTAGAAGTGCAAGAATGGAGCTTCTACTGGTGGATATTCAAGTGTGCTTTGGAACTTAATGTCAGCCCCTATAAAAATCTGCACTCGACGAAGCTTCAGAAATCGAAGAGGCGCCTGCTCAGAAATCGAAGAGGCGTCTGCTTTCTCAAAAGTTAGGCTGCTCAGAGACCACGAGGGTCGATCTCAGAAATCGAAGAGGCGTTTGCTTTCTCAAAAGCTGGGCTGCTCAAAGACCACGAAGGCCGATCTCAGAAATCGAAGAGGCTTGCTTTCTCAAAAGCTGGGCTGCTTAGAGACCACGAGGGCCGATCTTAGAAATCGAAGAGGCACCTACTTTTCCAGCCTTGTCAGCACCTGTCACACGCACACTCAGCTTTGCGGAAATTATGGGCATTCTGTCGAAGATTTCTGGTGAAGTAGAAAGCACATGAATCGTACTGTTCAATCACCCACTTCCCACACGCAACAGTAGCTCATGGGTACCATATAACTTTGCCAAAGTTCTCTGACAAAGTTGAGACACGTGAAGCTTGCAGCTCCCACTACATCGCTCTGACCAAGAAGGGTAAAAGAATAGCAAAGAAACAACACTAACAAAGTTTAGACACATAAATTTTGAAGGTCTAGCTACCATATTATTACCCACAAGGGTAAAGGAACAGTACCACTGCTGGATAATTGGAAAGTCCCGGTGTGTCAACCTCTGTGCTTCGTGGCAAGGTAGACTAGCAAACATGCCCAACCTTTACTCACATTCGAGAAAACACTCCCAACAAGATTGCTTGCTCCAAAATCGAAGAGGCACCGCCCTCCGAATCTCGAGAGCTAGACTCCCAACATGATTACTTTCTCAAAAATCGAAGACATCGCTCTCCGAATCTCGAGAGCCAGACCCCCAGCAGGATTGCTTTCTCAAAAATCGAAAAGGCATCGTTCTCCGAATCTCGAGAGCTGGATCCCCGACAGGATTGCTTGTTCGAAAACCGAAGAGGCACCACTTTCCCAACTTCAAGAGCTGGATCTCCTTGGATAAAGCTTGTCTGTAATCTTCTCACGCAACATCAGCTTTCCAGATACCACAGACCACTTTTTCAAAGTGCTCTGACAGAGTTAAAACTTGTGAAGCTGGTAGCTCCCACTACCGTGCTATGACCAAGCAGGGTAAAGGAATAGCATTATTACTTGATGTTAGGGAGACTCCTATATATGTCGACCTCCATCCCCAACGGACAGGCAGACTTGCAAAAATGCTCAACCCTTCCTCTTATCTGAGAGGGCACTCCCAACGAAGCCTTTCGAAATATTCAGCTTTCTTTCCCCCCGATAATACCTCTGTAAACAAGCTAACTAGAGCAAGAATATCTCATATCATCAGGGTTAAAAGCAAGAGTATCCCATATCATGCTTTTTCCCCGTCTTTTTCTTTGGCCTTGTTCTTACCTGCAAGACAAGGAGAAAGAAAGCAATCAGTCAGCACTTGGAATCAAGCTTCCAGCTAGGAACTGACTGCCTGGAACCCCTTACCTGATTACTTACCTGGCATTCTCGAGTACTCATCTTCAACATCTTATGCTTCCAGGGAAGATACCGCATCTGCCTGAAGAACAGATAGGGCAAGTGAGAAGGATACAAGGAAGCATGTGGAGACAAGCGTAACAGCACACGTGCCGATACATCCACTACTCTGTCAAAAGCAAAAGTATCCCATATCAGCAGGGTCGAACGTACTCTAGATTTGATGGACTTGTTTTGACCCTCAAATTCTTCAGTCGGCCTTATACTCTGGAGGAAACCAGAAAACCCTCCAGCCCAGTTCAAGAATAAGCCTGTGGAAAGTTACTTCTTCAAAAGCAAAAGTATCCCATATCATCTCTTCTCATTTTTCTTCTCTTTATCCTTCATGCTGCCTGCAAGATAGGGAGAATGTGAACAATCAGCCGGAGCTCTGATTGCTTACCTTGTCTGTCATCTCTTTCAGCAGATCCCCTAGCTCGGCGATTTAGGGGACTCCTACTACATGGTTTGTATCGCGCTTGACCAAGCCTGAAACTACAAGTAAGCTTCAAGTGACATTGATACATTATCTTGTGCATCTCCACCAGTTACAGATACCACCCCTGGATGGAGGAAGAGTACTTCCAGAGAAGATGCCACATCTACTTATGAGACAGATAAGGAAAGTCAAGACGATACCACACTCCGGTACTTAGAAGTTTCGTGGTTACGAGATCATTCTCCCACAATATTTCCTAATGTCATTTGTACTAAATCATTCACTTGTACTCACTAAAGGAGAGTTTGAACCTATGTACTTGTGTAAACCCTTCACAATTAATGAGAACTCCTCTATTCCGTGGACGTAGCCAATCTGGGTGAACCACGTACATCTTGTGTTTGCTTTCCTATCTCTATCCATTTATATACTTATCCTCACTAATGACCGGAGCAATCTAGCGAAGATCACAAAAAGTGACCGTTTTCGCTACCTAGGATCTATCCTGCAAGAGAACGGAGAATTAGATGGAGATCTCAACCATAGAATACAAGCTGGATGGATGAAGTGTAAGAGTGCATCCGGCGTGTTGTGTGACCGTCGTAGGCCACTGAAGCTCAAGGGAAAATTTTATTTTATAGGACGGCAATAAGGCCAGCGATGTTGTATGGCACAGAATGTTGGGCGGTGAAGCATCAACACGTACACAAAATGGGTGTAGCGGAGATAAGGATGCTTCGTGGGATGTATGGGCATACGAGAAAGGATAAGATTGGGAATGAGGATATCCGAGGTAAAGTAGGAGTAGCCAAAATTGAAGGAAATATGAGAGAAAATCGGTTCCGGTGGTTTGGACATGTGCAAAGAAGGCCTACTGACGCTCCGGTTCGAAAATGTGACTACGGGACGAGGTTCAGGGCCGAAGGGGTAGAGGAAGACCTAGGAAAACTTTGGAAGAGACCCTAAGAAAGACTTGAGTACTTGGATCTAACGGAGGACATGACACAAAACCGAGCGCAATGGCGTTCTAGGATTCATATAGCCGACCCCACTTAGTGGGAAAAGGCTTTGTTGTTGTTGTTGTTGTTGTTGTTGTTGTACATGTATATCTAATATATACTGTCAACTTCTAGAAAGAGAAATAAACTAAAAGGTGCATTTCTAGTCTACCAAGGTATGTCCTGTGTTGGATTCCTCTGGATGTTTTATCCTTGGTCTATGGTATCGTTCTACTTACTTTTTGAGCATCTAAACTCCATTAAAATTAGTGAGTGTCTGGAATTGTTTGATAAAGAATTCGGTAAATTACTCCAGACTCAGAGCTATTTAGAACCAAATTTTATGATACGGTTTGGTGTAATTGCTTGGTTTGGAGAACTAGGGCAGTTCTAGTGACAGTGGGTTGAACAACGTCTACATTCATCTTGAATTATAAATGCAGGTACCCCAGGTAACCGAGGAAGTTGCCATAGCTGTTCTGGATTTGTACCCCACGCTTTTATCTCTTGCCCGTGCCTACTCTCGACTTGTAAGTCCTCACTCCCTTGTTTGGAATTTGAAATGTAATAGCCACCTTTGGTGCTTCTGTGTGCAACCCTTTTTCTGCTCATTACATTTTCCTCCCTAAAACATTTTCTACTTTACGTTCATTAATTTACAATCTTTTAAGATTTCTTGTAATCTAGTTAAAAATAAGAGAGTTTAACGCTTGCTGGGTCATGACCGCATGGGACGGAGGGATTCAAGGTGGAAACAGAAATACTTTGTTTTATTTTCTTAATTCTATTTCTGTTTGGTCTGATTACATTACCTAATAGCAGTGATCTGTTTGTTTACTTATTTAACCTTGTTCTAACATTTTTAATTCACTCAAATTTCTTCATTTCTTCATTTATTTGTAAATTGTAAATAGGAAGGCGACGTCGATGCACAAGAGAAGATGCTTAAAACGCAGAGTTACAACGTTGTCAATGCAGGTGCTAGTAAAAATATATTTCAATTCGTATGGGGAAAATGACTGTTTCTTGTCCTAGGTCGTGAACGGACAATTGCTCTTGTATTCTACAAATCTTGCAATGTAAATAAGATGGAAGGGAAGTTAGGGTTATAAGAGTATATATGTTGTTGTATGTCTTCTCTTCCTTTTCCTTTTCTCCTTGCCCGTTTGAATTTTCTTTTAAAAGTTATTACAGTTTGACCAAGTCAGAAACTCATATTGGCATAATTGAGGCGTATTGTAAGCAAAATCAAGCCAAACTTTGTCCGCAAGTAATTTTAAGAGTCGCTTATCCGCGTAGCCGGCTGAATTTGACACGTTCATCGATTAACGGATAGACTAAGGTAGAAAAATCAACGTTTGCGTTCGGAATGAGACATATATCTCTCTCTGTCGTTTTCCCCCTTGACTTTTACAGTTACACAAGGCTTTCCACTGACTCAAACCACCACCTCGCACATCTCACCATCAATAATTCTCCACCCCAAATTTTCCAATCCATCCAAACAAACAGTAAAAATCTGTGAATCCATGAGGACGCCCCCTGCATGGAGCGACGTCAGCGTGACATCAGCGAGCACACATAGGCCCCGCGACGAGAAATTAAATCAGTGGCCAACTGCTCTCTGCTGGAGTCGGTATCTCGGGCGCGGATCGCGAAGGTCTTGGTCCCCTGCAGGTCGTAATCGACGAGAGACTCGAGGGTGGTGGGAGGAAATTTGGTGGTGGGAGGTCAGCAAATTGGGTAGGTTCGGTGAGGAGTAGAACAAGAGTGTTTCTTGGGGTTTGACTACTGGTCGTTTGTCCTTGTCTTTTTCAAACTGTTGCACTTGCTCTCACCCGCCCACGACTTTCATCGTTTACTTCTCCATCTTCTGGAAAATCAAATCCCGACCACTTTCCTAAATTCCAAATACGACCCATTGATTCCGCACCCAAATGATTCAATCACCTCCAATTTCCACAGAAAACCCACCAAATTTGTTATAAACCCACCACCTTGCTGCTCCTCCAAACCCAAATCCCTAATCCTCGCCTTCATGGCCTCCCTTCTCTTCCTCTCTCTCCTCTCCCTCACTCTCTTCCTCTCCCTCACTCTCTTCCTCTCCCTCTCCTCCGCCTCACGCCACCACTCCATCTCCCCCCAACCCCAGATCCAGCTAGCCTGCAAGGCCACACGCTTCCCCGACGCGTGCCAAGCCTCCCTGGGCAAGCTCGTCACTGACCCAAACGCCACCCCTCTCGAGACTATTCATTTCGCCGTCAAGGTCTCTGATGACGGCCTCAAGACCGCGCAGGGCATGGTCCACACTATCCTGGACTCGTCTGCGGGGAACATAAACCGCACCACCGCCGCGAAAAACTGCCTCGACGTCCTCGCCAACTCCCGGTACCGAATTTCTCTCACCACCGGTGGATTGTCAAGTGGTCGCGTTAAAAACGCACGTGCCTCCATGAGTGCCGCGTTGCTCTACCAATACGACTGCTGGTCGGCTCTCAAGTACGCAAACGACACCCAGATGGTCAACAAGACGATGTCGTTTCTCGACTCGCTGATCGGAAAATCCAGCAACGCGCTCGGCATGATTTGGTCGTACGACAACTTCGGAAATGACACTAAGAAGTGGGGGCCGCCGAAAACCGAGCGGGACGGGTTCTGGGAGCCGGTCATGGGCGGAGGGTCCGACCAGGGATTTCGGGGCGGGATTCCGTCGGGTTTAAAGGCGGACGTGACGGTGTGCAAGGGGAATTCGTGTGATTACAAGACGGTGCAGGAGGCGGTGAATGCCGCGCCGGATAACGCGGGAGATAAGAGGTTCGTGATTGGGATAAAGGCTGGGGTTTACGAGGAGACCGTGGGGGTGCCCCTAGAGAAGCGGAACGTGGTATTCTTGGGTGACGGGATGGGCAAAACGGTCATTACCGGGTCGTTGAATGTGGGCCAGCCCGGAATATCCACCTACAACACTGCCACCGTCGGTACGTTTACTACGCGTCACTTTTTGGTTTTTTAGTTTTCTTTTTAATTTTTTTTATCTGCCGTCCGTGGGTATTTAGTTTTTTTAAGATTTTTGTAATATGACGTCACATTTGGTTGGCGAAAAAAATGCATGGTGGATCATATGTTTAGGGCGCGTATGATACGTGAGGTGGGAGAGCACAGTTGGTCTGAACACGCTCGTCCAATTTCGTTTTGTCCCAAACATAGCATACCAAATATAGCACGGAACCTCGGAACCTCTATTTCGTCCCATTTCGTCCCGTCCACGTACCAAACTCTCCCTTATGGTGTGACCCCGCACCCACGTAATCTCAGAAGTTGAGGTTGGGGATGAGGATGGGTGCTGTAATTGCTGATTGTTTGTCAATCTTATATGTATCACAGGAGTTAGTGGTGATGGGTTCATGGCGAGTGGTCTCACAGTCCAGAACACAGCAGGTCCCGACGCCCACCAAGCAGTTGCTTTCAGATCAGACAGCGACCTCTCCGTAATCGAAAACTGCGAATTCATAGGCAATCAGGACACTCTCTATGCTCATGCCAACCGCCAATTCTACAAGTCGTGCACCATCCAAGGCAATGTGGATTTCATCTTCGGAAACTCTGCCTCCATCTTCCAGGACTGCACCATCCTTGTTCGTCCTAGACAGCTCGAACCCGAGAAGGGCGAAAACAATGCAGTCACAGCCCATGGAAGAACAGACCCCGGGCAGTCAACGGGCTTTGTATTTGAAAACTGCTTGATCAATGGCACGGAAGAATACATGAAGTTGTATCGGAGCAAGCCGCAGGTGCACAAGAACTACTTGGGGAGGCCGTGGAAGGAGTACTCGAGGACGGTTTTCATAAACTCGAGTATGGAAGCTCTTGTTGCACCGCAAGGGTGGATGCCTTGGGATGGGGATTTCGCTTTGAACACCCTTTTCTACGGAGAATTCGGGAATTCCGGCGCGGGTTCTGATTTGTCCCAGAGAGTGAAATGGAGCAGCAAGATCCCACCCGAGCATGTTAATACGTATTCTCTGCAGAATTTTATCCAGGGAGATGAGTGGATTAAAACATGAAATATTAGCGGGATTTTAAATTATTCCCCTTTTAGTAAGAAAATACTAATTAGCGAGTGGAGTAGGAACTCAAGACATTACGTTGCATGAATCAATTAAAGAAGGAAAAATCAATTTTGCTTCATCTATCTTCCACTTAAATGATTTTCTTTTCTTTTAATGAAGAAAAATCATATCATTTAAGATATATATACAGATTATATTAATACATTTCATAGAACTGACACAATATAAACGTACCAATCAACTATGTTTATGAAATTAAATGTACCAAAATTGAAAATCGACAATGGTCTATACATAACATGTGGCACCTAAACCTAATAATAATGGTACATAATAAACTATTGTTGATTTTCGATTTTGGCATGTTTATTTCCAAAGTCATTTGGCATTTCATCATCAAATTTTGAACATCTTTGTAATCTTTCTTATATTTGATTCAACAATGTTCATTTCGATTCATCAATGTTCCTTGCAATATTATCCCAAACTAATCGGTGATAGGTCTGGTTTTAAAATCCGTTTGCGGGGCCTCGTTGTAAGTTTACTTTTCCGTTTAAAAAAAAAAAAAATTTCAATAGTGATTAGCAAATGGAGAAATTTTTCTTGATCCAAATATGGTACACCATGTGTTTTTATATAAATAGTTGAAAATTTTATTTTTTAAATTGTTAACTTTTTAGCACTTCAATTACATTAAAAAAATCTCTTCGAGACCGGCCCCTTCACTCACTACGGGTGCTGGTCATATGGCCGTTGCCGTTGACCTAACAGTGAAACAGATGACCCCTCCCTCCAATCAAAGAAGCTGCAATCTGCAACTGAAATTCTTTTCTTATCCATCCCAAAAATAAATAAAACCAACAAAAATTCAGCAACAAACCTAAATCCCGACATATCACATGAATTTCCAAATCCTTTACTATATTTGACCCATCAATGCCGCCCTCCTTATTTAAACCTCCATGGCGATGGCACTGGCAACGCTGTTCATCTCCTTCTTCTCCCGGCAAAACCAAATTCCTCCTTCTCATGGCTTCCCTCTTCCTCTCTCTCCTCTTCCTCACTCTCTACCTCTCTCTATCCTCCGCCTCCCACCACCACCACCAGCCCACATCCCCCCGACCTCAGATCGAACAAGCCTGCAAAGCCACGCGCTTCCCCGACGCGTGTCAAGCCTCCCTCACCAACCTCGCCACTGACATCAGCACCACCCCTGTCCAGACCATCCAATTCGCCGTCCAACTCTCCGGCGACGGGATCGAGACGGCGCAGGGAATGGTGAAAACCATCCTGGACTCGTCCGCTGGCAACCTAAACCGCACGACGGCTGCGAATAACTGCCTGGAAATCCTCGCTAACTCCCAGTACCGAATTTCTCTCGCCACCGACAGTCTCTCGCTCGGTAAAATTAAAAACGCGCGTGCCTCCATGAGCTCCGCGTTGCTCTACCAGTACGGCTGCTGGTCGGGCCTCAAGTACGCCAACGACACCAACATGGTCAACGAGACGATGTCGTTTCTCGACAGTTTGATCGCCAAATCCAGCAACGCGCTCGGCATGATGGCCTCGTACGACAACTTCGGTAACGACACAAAAATATGGGCCCCGCCCAAGACGGAGCGAGACGGGTTCTGGGAGCGGCTGGAGCACGGAGGTCCCGACCCGGGATTTCGGGGCGGGGTGCCGTCGGGTTTAACGACGAACGTGACGGTGTGCAAGGAGAAATCGTGTGATTACAGGACGGTGCAGGAGGCGGTTAATGCCGCACCGGATAACGCCGCGGGAAACGAGAGGTTCGTGATTGGGATAAAGGCCGGGGTGTACGAAGAGACCGTGAGGGTGCCCTTAGAGAAGCGGAACGTGGTGTTTTTAGGTGATGGGATGGGTGAAACGGTCATTACCGGGTCGTTGAATGTGGGCCAGCCCGGAATTTCCACGTACAACACTGCTACCGTCGGTAGGTATTTTTATTTATTTTTCTATTTTTCAGAAATTACCGTAAATATTGTTTTTGTTTGATAATTTGAATACTATTACGTCAGAAGTTGGCGGTGAAGAGTGCATTGCCATCGTAACGTAGAGTATGGGGAATTAGGCGCATGTGGTATGGTGGGTTGTAGCTTTTCCCACAAGTAAATGGAACTCGCTCTACGATATACGTTTTGATCGCTAACGTTTTTGTAAATATGATACATGTATTATTACATGACATATAGAATTATAGCTAGCTCAATAGTACCTTACTGCTTATCGTATTTTGCTAATTTGTTGATTTATGCGACAGGGGTTGTTGGTGATGGGTTCATGGCAAGCGGACTCACAATCCAAAACACAGCAGGTCCCGACACCCACCAAGCGGTTGCTTTCCGATCAGACAGCGACCTCTCCGTGATCGAAAACTGCGAATTCATAGGCAATCAAGACACCCTCTACGCACAAGGCAACCGCCAGTTCTACAAATCATGCACCATCCAAGGCAACGTCGATTTCATCTTCGGAAACTCAGCTTCCATCTTCCAAGACTGCACCATCCTCGTCCGTCCACGGCAACTCCAACCCAAGAAAGGCGAAGACAATGTCGTCACAGCCCACGGAAGAACAGACCCTGCGATGACAACGGGTTTCGTGTTTCGAAACTGCTCGATCAACGGCACGGAAGAGTACATGAAGTTGTACCGGAGCAAGCCGGAGGTGCACAAGAACTACTTGGGGAGGCCGTGGAAGGAGTATTCGAGGACGGTTTTTATAAACTGCAGTATGGAAGCTCTTATTACACCCCAAGGGTGGATGCCTTGGAGTGGGGATTTTGCTCTCAACACCCTTTTTTATGGGGAGTTTGGGAATTCTGGACCGGGTTCTGATTTGTCCCAGAGATGGAACTGGACCAGCAAAATCCCATCTGAACATGTTAATGCGTATTCTGTGCAGAATTTTATTCAGGGAGATGAGTGGATGTCAACTTGAATTATTATTATAGGCTATTTTTAATTATGAATATTAATGGGAAATAATTTTTATACACTACATTTTATAAACTGTTTAATTTTATTTAATTCAAAAGCTGTTTAAAAGCTGTTTGCTCCAAAAAAAAAAAAAAAGGATTATTGTGTAGGTGAAGAAAATAGAAGCGTGAAAATCATTTTCGGGTCCATTAGGCTTTTAATAGTTGTCATCACTCAGTACTATGATTTTGTAGTATTCTTCCTTACTTGGAAGTGATAAATCATAGATTCGAATCTCGTGGATGACGAATTAGATACCAAATTAGGCTACCCATTGTGTGACTTAGCCGAACTCCCCCTCCCCTAGTGTAAAAATATTGATCTACTAAAAATAAAAATAAAAAAACAGTTGCCCAAAAAAAAGAGTTTAAACTTCATTTTGGAGCTTGAAAATCATTTTTGCGTCAATTAGAAATCAAGGTCCTACTGTGGGCTAAAAATTTTGAGTATTATGAGAGTGATTGCAATACAAAAATGAGCAATTGTAGAGTAAAGATTTGATGAGTCCCACAATTGATAGATAGAACCCACCTTTATCAAACTCACACAATTGATACATATCAATTGTGTTACAAGAATCAAACTCAAGATGTTAAATTCTAACATATAAAAGTTAAACTCGCTCGAACCATTGTGAAAGGCCTTAGATAACAACACATATTTTAGTGGAATGGAATTATACAAGGATTTGATTGGTTTACATAGGAAGTGTACTCATGCTTTTATGAAATCAAAGATGTTCTATCGATTTTCCTCAAAAAAAGAAAGAAAAAACAAGTATTCAGAGTATTATTTGCAGTGGAAGTTTGCTGAGCCTATAGTCCAAGAGGCTTTGTGTGGCTTGGATAGAGTTGTTTCCTGACTCTATACATGTAAATCTCGTTTGATTCCTTGTAGAGCCCCCTTTCCGAACAACTGGGAAACCTCTGCGTAAACCTACCAACCAACGCCATTGCCGGTCTCTTATCCCATCCACATTCGATTTACATCTTCCCATAAAACTCCATCGTTGACTTTGAACGGTGTGGACCGAGTGATAAGCCTCTCAAGTGATTCACTTGCAATATTGCTCAATAATGCGACATAAACAAAGTATCTAAAGCACGCCTTGTTATATGCCCGTAAACCTCCTCAAGTGATAAACCACATCAGCCTGATGAAGAACTAAGATGAGAATCCTATCATTTCAAAAAACAAATTGGCTAGAGTCATTCGAGTGTAAATATAAGGATAGAAAAAGATACGGTGAAGATATCTCACAGGAAGAAGCGTTGAAACACCAATAGGAACAACTGATACTATGTCAGTCAGAGCTCTCTGTAGACCTTTCTTTTCTTTTTCTGTCAGTTCATCTCCATGAAAGACCCTTCTAAGCAACCCCATAGCGGCACCAATGTCAATAGCTAGCAATTGAGTTCCTTGCCACACATCCTGCTCATCATTTTTGAGAAGAAACAAAAATAATTAATGAGAAGAAAATTGGAATCTGTGAACAAGTCCACAGGAACAAATGTAAAGCTAATAGAACTCATATTTTACAAAATGTAGGAGTCAACATCCTTCTTTGTGGTTTACGCAGAGGTTTCCAGTTGTTCGGAAAGGGGGCTCTACAAGGAATCAAGCACGAACCAGCACATATAGAAACAACTAAATCCACAACCAAACCAAAAAAGCAAAATCAAACTTAAGTTTTATCTGTCAAAAAAAACCAGGCCTCCCTAACATAGAATTGAGGGCAAGAAACTTTTGCTTGACCAAGTTTTGTAATTGCTGCTTTGCATGTCAGTGCAAGCATGAGGAGAGATGTGTCACTTGTGTTGCTAGACCCCTAGTGTGTTACCTTACTAGACCTGGAAGCAGATTGAAGCAGGATTAAATCTATATAATCGTTCAAATCCATCTAGAAAAATTAGAAGACACATTAAACAATAGAGGATAACATACACATTAGTTGAAGCAGTAAAGCACAGGTCCCCTGCAAATACTTAGCAAGGAAGTTACCACCAGGGAACTTGCTTAGAGATAATTTGATACACCACTCATAAGCTTCAGGTTGCTTGGCTGATGGTTGATCCCGGATTAAGCTCTCAAGGGAAGAAGATTGTCTTAATAAACTGCAACAATGCATTAGTTAAACATATTGAAAATATTAAACCAAATAAGAGGAAATCTTACGGTTAATAAAATCTATAAGCAACCAAAGTGGATAGAAAACACACACACACACCAGTTGCATTGGAAACCTTTGAGTGAATAAAAACACATAATTGAAATTTCAAAGTCCTCAGCATAGTATTCCAAATCCAGAAAAACAAAGCAGATTACACATTTTTCACTTTCATGCTAACAAATTAATCTACTTAATTTACAGTTCAAAAATAAAATAAGGTTGTTGAAGCTGAAAACTTTATGGTCGCCTTATTACAATTGACTGTAAAAGGGATCAAATTTTGCCATTTTTATGGAAGGGAGGAATGGACCGGTCCTTAGTTCATACACAGGACTACTCATACTTAAAGCCAAGTTTAGAATACATCCTTATTAGCAGCACTGGCAACATAGGAGATCACTGTTTGAATGGACTAGCTACAAAACTGATCAACTTCCATAAATGAACTTTAAGTTTTGAAATATAAGTGGTGTATTACCTCCTTTGAACAAAAACGTTTATGTCTCTGTCTCTACCATCCCCTCGGGACGCAATCTCACTTGAACCTTGCGATAAGGAGTACTGTAGAAGGCAGCCTTGGCAGCCTGGTTCCTTAAGCACCTATAAGCTAGGTGTAGAACTAAATTTTTTTTATCAATTCCAACTCCACGATGTAGACACCAAGGAAGATGGTGTGTCTCTCTATATACACTCCACTCCAGGCACTGCATAAAGAGAGTTTCCTAGAAGCCCAACCTTTTAAACTAAATAACTGATACCGGGTATTTTTTTAATCCCTTGCTCTTCCATTTTGGTTCTCACAGCAGAAACATCAAGCCAGCGGCCTGTTGCTGCATAGATATCGGACAAGAGCACATAATTACCAGAATTTTGGGGTTCAAGCTCAAAAAGTCGATAAGCAACTAACTCTCCTAGCTCAGCATTGCAGTTTAGCTTACAGGCTGCTAGTAGTGCACCCCAAGCGCCAGCATGAGGCTCCTCATGCATTGATTTTAGAAGATCATAAGCTGCTTTTAACCGTCCTGACCGGCTAAGAAGACTAACCATACATGCATAATGATCAGGAGAGGGATTTAAATGGTACTTATGTCTCATTGATTCAAAGAAGTGCCAACCCTCCTCAACGAGTCCAGAGCGACTACAAACTGTCAGGATGACTGTAAAAGCAACCTCATCCGGAGCTAAACCTTCAATTAACATCTTATTGAAGAGGGAAATAGCCTGATCCCCTTGACCATTAATCGACAACCCTTGTACCATAGAACAATACGAAATCAAATCCCGCTTAGGCATCTCTTCAAACAAACGTGTTGCTCTTTCCATATTCCCACACATTGCATTCATGTTAATCAGAGCTGCGAGAACATGAGCCTGACGAACATCAATGGAGCTCTGGCTCAGGTAAGAATCAACCCATTTAGCCACCTGCAAGCAACCCACTTGGGAACAAGCTGACATCAAGCTCACCATTATAAACTCGTCAGGCTTAACATTCTTCGCACTCATTTCTTGAAATATCTTTACAGCCTCGTTAGGTTGACCATTTTGAGCATACCCTGATATCAATGCCGACCATGCAACGACATCTTTAGCTGAGCATTGATCAAACAAAAATCTCGCAGACGCCATATCTCCACACTTGGCATATCCATCGATCATAGTAGTATAAGAAACCACATTTTTCTCAGGCATTTGATCAAAGATCCTTCTGGCATTGACCAAATCCCCCATCTTTACAAACCCACTAATAATCGCATTCCACGACACTGCATTTCTCTGGGGCATCTGATCAAACAGCTTGTTGGCCTCCACCAAATCCCCAACACTAGCATACCCAACAACCATAGTCGTCCAAGAAACCACACTTCTCTCAGACATTCCATCAAACACCTTGCGAGCGCAAACAATCTCCCTGCATTTCCCGTACAAATCGATCAAACTGGTGCCTACAAACACATCCCCGTCAACTCCACACCTCACCGCCAACCCATGTATCGCCCTTCCTTCCCAGACCCTCCCCTCACTAGCACACGCCTTAAAGAGAGACGGGTACGTAAACCTATCCAGAAGGCCCTCCTCCCTCTTCATCCTAACAAACAGAGAAACAGTGCCCAAAAAACCAGACCTTTCGCAGTATCCTTTGATCAGACAGTTCCAGAGAAAGGTGTTGGGGCTGAGGACGCGGTCGAGTACGGCGGTGGAGTAAGAGAGGGAAGCGAGAGCGTTGGAGAGGCAGATGAACTGGCTTATGAGGAAGCAATCTTGCTCCAAACCTTTACGGACAATGTGGGCGTGGATTTGTTCGAGACGGAATTGGGTTTTGCAGCCTTTGAGTAAGGTTGCAATTGAAGGCAGCAGAGAAGTGGGACGGCGGCTGTTGGGCGGAGCTAGCGATGAGTAGAGGGGGATTGTAGGCATGGGTCTCTCTGTTGCAAATCCAATCACACCGTTAACTTTCCACGACTGGAATCTGCTACAAGGAACACATTCTCAGCTTCTCTAAAGACGTTATGGTAACAGCTGAGAGAGAAAAATTGGAGGGAAAACTTGCTTGGTTGCCGAGAAAAACACCAAGAAAATGGTGACAAAGGCAGACAAAATATATTTTCCAACTTATTTGCCTCGGCTTTAAAGGCGGACAACTTCCTAACGAAAACATAAGGAACAAGAAGATGACGAAAGCAATCATCACATGCAGACAATACAGACAAGACAACCACTTACGTAAAATCTTAGCTTTCCAAGTTATTCCCATGGACGGGATTCACTAGCCTCTCACAGTCTGGGCAACGTAAGTCCAAATTCTAGGTTTCGACACAATTGATACAACAATGCCATGTATCAGCAAACGGCGAAATGCAAAGGTCCGGGACTAATGTGATACCATTAAAAGTTGTCACGCTCCTGATTCTGGGATGCGTCCAAAATCGATTCGTGACAAAAAACAGTAGTGCTATAAGAATACATGAAGTCAACTGGGTTCATACATAATGTCTGTCAAATATTTAACGAAAATAAAAATACAATAAAGAGTAACAAATTGAAAATGCACTACTGTCACTCACACGAACTTCATAGCTTATTCAAATTCTGTTTTTCCCGCTGCATATATCTGAACAAGCTATGAAGCTTGTGTGAGTGAAAATAGTACGCCGTTGCATATATAAAATAATCGTTACTCACAAATATCAATTGAATCCACACGCATTTCAATTATCAGTTTAAAAAATCCCTCAATCATCAGTTTCATAGCACATAACACCAGAATAATTAAGGGCATGTTGACTAAAAAATCAATGTTTGTCAAAATATCCCTACTCTATTCAACAACAATAAATTCTTCAATCCGAAAAATCCAAACCTCGAATTTCTCATTTCCTTCCCATCACCTGGGCAATGGCAAAACGGATGAAAAGTGTCATTAGAGGCCCACGTAACTATTGACCCAAAAAAGGATGATATTGGACCCTTTTTCCCCTCAATATTGGGCTATTAACTTACGCAGCACCGTCCCCTTTGAGCCCAAATCACTTTGGGTGTCCGTTTTGTACGGTTCACAATCTCACAGCTGCAATTCAAGGACGACGAAGAGAAAAGAGGCACATTTGAATTTGATCGATCGTCGTCCCAAATTCAACTGAACTCCCAGAATCAGAAGACATAGAACACAATGGCAAATCATAATTTTTCATCTTCTTCCCTGCTCAGAATTCTAATTCTTCTACTAGTATTCTTGCACTTCTCTCCCATCAATACAAATGCCAAGTCTCGTCGCCCAATCTCTGTATTCCAAATTCTTCTTCTTCTTCTTCTTCTTCTGTTAATTTCTTATATGCTTCAATGTTTGTGGGCCTTTATTTTTTAATACTAATTGTGAATTTATGATGGGTTCTTTTTTGTGTGTGTTATATTTGACAGGATATTGAGACAAGGCAGAAGAAGAGCCAGTGTTATGCTGACATTCAGAGGTATATCCACTTCCTTCTCTCTCTTTTTTGATTTCCCATTTCTATCTTCACTAATTCTTGCTTGGAAATTATAACAATTGTGGCAAGAAAATTGAAACAGTTTAATTTCACAGTTTAATTTCTTTTTGAGCTACGGATGTTTGATTAGAGTGGGATTTGATTTAACCCCACCAAAATATTTGAGTTATTAGTTTTAAAGAAAGCCACTTTATTTGTTTTCACTAAATGCAACAAGAATTTCTGCTTTTCCTAGTTGTATGATTGACATGGTCTACCTCCAAACTGTATTGAATTAAAACTGTTTGAGAAAATTCTTTCAATGCATATAGAACTCGTAACTCGTTGCTTTAAAGTATGTGATGATGGATTGGCACGCAGTTTTTATTTTTTATTTTTAAAACCGTTAGTCTCTGACTGCTCCTTTTTGTTTTTGATGATTGGAATAGCGGATTGTGGGGTTGGCAATGCAAATCCTCCTTGATAGCAAAAGAAAATTGCGCTTTGCGATGCCTTTCTCCTACTTGCTATGAGCTTATCTACGAGAGCGATCCGGTAAGATGGACTATATTAGATTCTCCATTATTGGATTCGACATGTTACATTTGTTATTTTACATGGGTTGTGTTCTTATTGTAGCTTGAAGAAGGTGAAAAAGATATGCTTAGGGGCCAAGAGTTCAAATACTGTATGCATAAGTAAGTTCCAAGTCTTTATGGATATGAAATGTTATTGCTATATGATTCGGTTTATGCAGAGTGATGATTATATTTTTTTTTTAGGATAGCATAAGGACCATAATTACAAACTGTTAGTTTTACATTACATAGCTGGATTTCTGTTAGTGTTCAGTTGTGGATACAAGAATCTCATAAACCATAAAATAGAATTTACTAACAGTGGAAAAATATGTTAATTGCAAAATATTACTGGGAACATCAAATCACCGAGTTTCTTATTTCCTTCCAAATGGCTTTTATCTATTTTCTTTTTTCCTTCTGCCAACTGGTTCACTGTGGAGGTTAAAAACTTGGTCTTTGTTTCTTGCAATAACGTTAGACAACATTACAAAGGTTGATTGAAGGAAAAGTTTGTTTTGGTGTGCATTTTGTAGTTGAGTGTTGGGGCAATTTAGGGCCTTAATTGTCGGTTGGGTTTCGTATTTGCTGGTATTAGCGGGTTTATTGGCTAATTTTATATTCATAGATACTTAGATTGTGTCGTAATGGGTTTAAGGTAGTAATAGTCAAGGCAATTTTGGGATCAGTCTAAAACCTCTTGAAGAGCTAAATTGCCGGAATTATAATGAGATATTATATGTTATTTTAAATCATTGATTTTCTCAGATCTGTACCGACTAGGAAATAGTTGGCACTCATAAAGATCCCCTACCAAATTGAGGATGATAAGCTGGGTATCACTCATGTGACTTTTTGGATATTAAACCTTTTTCAACGTTGTAAAGTGTTACTATATTTTCCCAGTTTATAATTCAGTGCTGGCCGTGCTTATCAGGTTATGCCAATACCACTGTCTGCATTTATTAGCACAAAGATTTTTGATGAATTGGATCAAGGGAGGAGTGCATTAGCGTGATGGTTTTTCAAGTGGATTAGATGGATCCCTTCTAAATTTCCATTGCAACTTGATTTTGTGCGATGCATTTTAAATAAATTTCTACAAAAGAAATAACAGATATTGAGTTGTTGACAAAGAATAAACGTAGGTTGGACAAGTTATAGAGATTATTTTTATAGTGTGTTGAGAGAACCTTACTGTCACTTGTTATAGTAGGATAGTGATTTCAGTCGCACGTATTTGGTCTACACTTTATTCATATTATAAAACGGTCTTTCTGGAAGTGGCCTTGAAAACTTGGTGAAGAATTCTTTAGTTTAGTGCAGTGGTATTTTCTGAAGGCTGGATGGAATGCACTCATATTAAGGGGGTTACATGTGTTATCTCTGCATCCTGAGCTGTTAGTAACAAATTAACAATAGGTTAAGGACCAGAGGCGATGTGTTGGCTGAGGAGTATGGCGTCTATGCATGCAGTATACTTACTAGATGCTATAAAAAGGTATATTGGCATTGTAGGTTCTCGTATTGTTGATATAAAAGCTACCCTGCCATCTTTTAGTGGAATTTGGACCCTTGGAGGATTAAGTAAATAAGTTGTTGGTTTCCTTTAACTGAAAGCGCAGATATGAGTAGTCAGATAAAGTACAAATCTGTGTTTATGAAGCTAAGAAAATACTTAAACCTGGTTACTTCCTTGTGCTTTTATGTGGTAATTGACGAGCAACACTTCAAGCAAATGAGTGGCTGGGAAAATTAGCAAAATTTGTGGTTCAACTTTAGCTTGCTCTCTCGGAACTTATCTTGGCGTTGCTTTATTGCATAAAGGGGTTAATAAAGCAACTTATCTTTACATAGTGGAAAAGGTTCCAATGAAGTTGTGCTCTTGGAAAAATAAAATGCTTTCTATGACAGGTAGACTCACTTTAATTAAGTGTGTTGCCTCTGCTCTTTCTGTCTATGCTATGAAAACTGCAAGTCTCCCTATCAGTGATATGGTGCCACTTGGCATCATATTATTGTGACATGTATATCATTGGGTGATTAGAAATTGTAACTAAGTGTGGTTAAAGCTGTTAGTTTGTTGCTTAGCAGATAAGTATGTTCATAGTTAGTATAAATATGGGTTTGTAAAGCAGTATGGGTCAGTTGTAAAGTTGTCATTTGTGTAATAATGAGTTACCTTTACAGTGCAATAGAGAAAGACTTAGAGAGGGCCTTAACAATCAGTATTTGTGATTCTCTTGATAAAGTTAATAGAAATTGTCTATAGGGTAGAGCTAAATCTGGTTGGAAGTTGCTAAAAAAGGACAATGGCTTACGGGCTGATCCTTTCAACAACAAACTTTGGAGCGCTTCTCCTTCATGGAGGAGTATTCTTGATGGGGCGGAGATGTTACACAAAGGCCTTAAGTGGAAAATTAGAAATGGTAGAAATACAAAGTTCTGAACTGTTAACTAAGTATGCTCTGCCTTTAGTTCAAGAAATCGATCCAAAATTAAAAGCTGCAGATTTCATTGAGAAGTTGCGGACTTTAAATTTGATCCCACTTGTAAAAGTTGTAAATGTTAGAAAACCGCCTGATCCAAGGAAGAGCATCTGGAATTTTACTATTAATTGGCTCAAAGCCAATGCTGCCAATGTTGATACCTCTAGTAAACCCAACCGTGTCCAAGCTTTCTTAGCTTGGGAACCTCCTCTTTTGGAACTTTTAAGCTGAACATGGATGGTGCTAGGCTTGGTTCCGATGGGGTGAAAGGAAGTGGAGGATCAATTAGGGGTTGGTGTGTTATATGGATTATTGGTATTGTTGCTAAGAAAGGGGTTGGGGAAGTTCTCCATGCTGAGCTTTGGGCATTGTATTATGGTTTGAAGATGGCTAAAAGAAGAAAGTTTTCTCATCTGATTGTGGAGGTGGACTCTTCTTTGTTGGTCAGTCTTTTTCATGGTTTTGCTAGCATTAATCATCCTCTTGATGGTCTTTGTCTCGCAGTGTAGAAATTATTTTAAAGGGAACTGGAATATCATGCTGCAACATGTTCATAGAGGATGCAGTTTTGCTGCCTACAGGTTAGCTAAGTTGGGTCTAACTAGTGAGATGGATTTTCAAGAGCTTGCGGAGCCTCTCCTGATTTAGTCCGAACTAATGTTGATGATTGCTCTGGTGTTGCCAGAGCTAAATTAGTTGTTCTTTAGTTTGCTTCTCTCTTTTTCTCCCTTGTGCCCGAAAAATTATGAGCAACACTTTTATTTTTCTCTTAACAGAACAATATACACAAGTCAAGTTTCTGGCTACTTATGTAAGTAGTGTAGTTGATTATATGGTATTCAAAAACGACATGCCTGCTCGTGTGCTTGGCGACAAATAGGATGAGCTGCATGTCGTCCTAAACAGCCAGGCTTAGCATAGGAATGTTTTCTGCAGATGTTTCAAGTCTTATTAGCGGATTGCTTACCTCTGCCCTATTCTTTAAGTTTCTGCCTGCTTAGCCAGGTTAATCAGGGCATTATGATCATTTTGGTGCTTTCATAAAAGTTGCTAGCTTTTCCTCCTACTTTTTCTTTCTTTCATTAATCTTGCAATTTCCCATTGACTTTTAGATGCAGTTTGCCTACATAAATAATCACATCATGGTAATTGACGAATTAATTTGGGTTGTTTTGTAACTCTCGATTCATGTTGCCTCGCAGGTTATCTTTGGGGGAGAGCCTCGAGGGTATTAAGGGTTCATTTAATTATTAAATAGATGGCAATGTTGCTTGTAGAATAAGTTCATATGAAGCCATGGATTTCTTCTTCACTGGAAAAAGAAGAGAGAAGGTAAAACAGAAGTCGGACTTCATTTTCGAGTCATCTCTTGGTTGTCTCCCCTTGCATCTAGTGCCATCTTCTGCAAGTTGAGCTGCAAACCAGGTTCAGGATGTCCAGAATGTCTGCCATTACGGCTCATGTTCTCTTTCATCGACGTCGAAATTATCTGTAAGATTGCGAGTTTACCAAATGAGACGAGAATGTTTTTCTTTAACTTGCTTGATAGTACTGTAAGTTGAACCAGCATCAATTAGTGTACCATCATCAATCTTTGGGTGCCTGTGTTCGTCCACCTTCCCAGTCCCACCCAAGGTCACATGGTGCAATGTTGCCACATTGTTGCCTATAGCTGCCGTCTCCCCAACCACCACGGCTGTCGCGCGGTCGAAAAGAATGCCGTCACCTATGCTTGCAGCTGGTGAATGTCTACGGAAAACACATCCGCAATTCGCGAGTGGGGTGCAAGTGTTAGTGGTCTACTTGACCGACTCCACAACTTGTGAGCCACTCGATGAGACTAACAAATTGAACATAAACTATTATGTTTATTTTATTTTATGTTTATGTTTATTTTTATTTTTTGTTTTGAAATTTCATATAAATTAATCCAAAAGCAAATAAAAATTAGGAAAATTTTATTTGAACCCATCTAACCTCGTTCTGCATTTAGCTTACTCTCTACACCTATATTACTTTTAATTAAATTCTCAATATCTCTTTAAACCCAATTTACTACCTCAACTTTACTCACAAAATATATAAATTTATCTTTACACCCACTTAGAAAATAAAGACCCAAAATCAGTATTTTGCAGCTCATTCTATGCAGTGCATGTCACCCAATTTTTTATGAAAAATAGCATTGAGCGGCACCCCCAGCCATGGCATGCACTTAAAGTGTTTATTTTTTCTCCTCATCACAATCGAAGGAGACAAACATTATCTTAAACTCTTTGCCTTCCACTCTATGCATTTCATAAAGTCACGTTCTTGCAATGCTGAGGGTTAAGAGCCTTGCAAGGCCTACACCAATTTGCAGAGAAGCAGAGGCACAGTTTCTTCCCATTACATGACGATAAGTGGACCTAATAATCTCCTAGTCAAAACAAGATTATGTTTTAATTATCCAAATCAAGATGAAAAAATTAAACTCTAAATTGAAGGCATATTTTTCTATGCTACAAACCTACTTGAACCTCACGTTCCTACATTTTAATGAAATCAAAACATTTTCAACAACCATCAACCGAATTAAATTATGAAAAATAATATTGATTGAAAAAGAGGAAGAGGGGGAAGCTTTTGGAGACTACATACATTTGTTTCACCAGATAGAAGGACCTCAACACCTTTAAATTCAAGAACAGTCCCTATATTGATGCTAATATGCACTGCCATCAAAACTACAAGCAAAGTATGGCCTCCATCCTTCATGAATGAAATGATAAGAAAGCATAACATTCACACAAGTAGCTAGACTTTAATTTTAAATCTCACATAGGTTTCTGCTAGTCATTATGCTTTTTAAAAAGTGCTGATTTTGTTCCTAAATCCTAAAAAAAAAAAAAACTGAAATCAAATGAAAAAAAACTTGCAAAAATCGATTCATACTTTAGTTGGAGGATTCAAAACTTCTTAATCATCATCCATCATTAAAAAAGAGCTTGTTTTTCTCTACGAAAACGTCTTAGGGTTTTAGCTAGAATGAATGTATTGGACAAAGATTTCATGATGGTAGGTTTTGATTATTAGGTGTGGGTTTATTTATAAATTTTAGTTTTATTGATGATTTCATCTTGTAGTTAATGGTAATTATGCAATAGGGTAAAAAAGACAATTCAGAATTCACAATTCACACTTAATTTCCCTAAAAATTAAGGTTATTTTTTTTTATTAAAAAAGAGACTAGTTGGTGTCTTAGCTACGACAACCCATTCTTTCGTAGGTCGTTAAGACTCATAGAGACATTTCAGCCTTCTTCTGGCTACCATTGTGTGATTAACCAATGCCATGAATTGAACCTAGGACGTGCTGTGTGGAATACGAGCCTAAAATTTGTTCTCAACCTTGTCACATTAGACACAGAATCCTTAACAGAACCTGCACACTGAACACTGAGAGCTAGAGAATCCTTAACAGCCAACTCATCAGACTGTTTGGAAAATAGTCTGTTATCTTTGGGAGTGAGTAGGTTCCTGGCCACTACCGCAGCGGTCATATCATTCTTCATCACGGAATACCCAACGGTAAGAGGACCAGTAGGGGAGACGAAGGATGGGCGCCATATGTTGTCTGGAGAAGGCGGGGCTGCCTTTTCAACAAGGTTCAAGTCAAAACGACGGTCGGAGGGGCCAGACATTTTCAAAGGTGTTGAAGAGAGAAGAGGTCGGACAAATCAAGATCTTAGAAGTGCAAGAATGGAGCTTCTACTGGTGGATATTCAAGTGTGCTTTGGAACTTAATGTCAGCCCCTATAAAAATCTGCACTCGACGAAGCTTCAGAAATCGAAGAGGCGCCTGCTCAGAAATCGAAGAGGCGTTTGCTTTCTCAAAAGCTGGGCTGCTCAGAGACCACGAGGGTCGATCTCAGAAATCGACGAGGCGTTTGCTTTCTCAAAAGCTGGGCTACTCAAAGACCACGAAGGCCGATCTCAGAAATCGAAGAGGCTTGCTTTCTCAAAAGCTGGGCCGCTCAAAGACCACGAGGGCCGATCTCAGAAATCGAAGAGGCACCTACTTTTCCAGCCTTGTCAGCACCTGTCACACGCACACTCAGCTTTGCGGAAATTATGGGCATTCTGTCGAAGATTTCTGGCGAAGTAGAAAGCACATGAATCGTACTGTTCAATCACCCACTTCCCACACGCAACAGTAACTCATGGGTACCACAGATAACTTTGCCAAAGTTCTCGGACAAAGTTGAGACACGTGAAGCTTGCAGCTCCCGCTACATCGCTCTGACCAAGAAGGGTAAAAGAATTGCAAAGAAACAACACTAACAAAGTTTAGACATATAAATTTTGAAGGTCTAGCTACCATATTATTACCCACAAGGGTAAAGGAACAGTACCACTGCTGGATAATTGGAAAGTCCCGGTGTGTCAACCTCTGTGTTTCGTGGCAAGGTAGACTAGCAAACATGCCCAACCTTTACTCACATTCGAGAAAACACTCCCAACAGGATTGCTTGCTCCAAAATCGAAGAGGCACCGCCCTCCGAATCTCGAGAGCCAGACTCCCAACATGATTACTTTCTCAAAAATCGAAGAGAGGGTAAAGGAACAGTACCACTGCTGGATAATTGGAAAGTCCCTGTGTGTCAACCTTTGTGCTCCGTGGCAAGGTAGACTAGCAAACATGCCCAACCTTTACTCACATTCGAGAAAACACTCCCAACAAGATTGCTTGCTCCAAAATCGAAGAGGCACTGCCCTCCGAATCTCGAGAGCCAGACTCCCAACATGATTACTTTCTCAAAAATCGAAGAGAGGGTAAAGGAACAATACCACTGCTGGATAATCGGAAAGTCCCTGTGTGTCAACCTCTGTGCTTCGTGGCAAGGTAGACTAGCAAACATGCCCAACCTTTACTCACATTCGAGAAAACACTCCCAACAAGATTGCTTGCTCCAAAATCGAAGAGGCACCACCCTCCGAATCTCGAGAGCCAGACTCCCAACATGATTACTTTCTCAAAAATCGAAGAGACACCGCTCTCCGAATCTCGAGAGCTAGACCCCCAGCAGGATTGCTTTCTCAAAAATCGAAGAGGCATCGTTCTCCGAATCTCGAGAGCCAGATCCCCGACAGGATTGCTTGTTCGAAAACCGAAGAGGCACCACTTTCCCAACTTCAAGAGATGGATCTCCTTGGATACAGCTTGTCTGTAATCTTCACACGCAACATCAGCTTTCCAGATACCACAGACCACTTTTTCAAAGTGATCTGACAGAGTTAAAACATGTGAAGCTGACAGCTCCCACTACCGTGCTATGACCAAGCAGGGTAAAGGAATAGCATTATTACTTGATGTTAGGGAGACTCCTATATATGTCGACCTCCATCCCTAACGGACAGGCAGACCTGCAAAAATGCTCAACCCTTTCTCTTATCTGAGAGGGCACTCCCAACGAAGCCTTTCGAAATATTCAGCTTTCTTTCCCCCCGATAATACCTCTGTAAACAAGCTATACTAGAGCAAGAATATCTCATATCATCAGGGTTAAAAGCAAGAGTATCCCATATCATGCTTTTTCCCTGTCTTTTCCTTTGGCCTTGTTCTTACCTGCAAGACAAGGAGAAAGAGAGCAATCAGTCAGCACTTGGAATCAAGCTTCCAGCCAGGAACTGACTGCCTGGAACCCCTTACCTGATTACTTACCTGGCATTGCTCTCGAGTACTCATCTTCAACATCTTATGCTTCCAGGGAAGATACCGTATCTGCCTGAGGAACAGATAGAGCAAGTGAGAAGGATACAAGGAA